TTATGATAACACCCTTTATGTGTAAATCATGTATCCATTTTGACTTTATCTTAGTATACAGTGTGAGATATTGGTCTATACCTAGTTTCTGCCAAACCACGTTCCAGCTTTTCCAAAAATTTTTGTCAGATCTTGAGTTCTTACCCCAAAAGGTTGGATCTTTGGGTTTATCAAACATTAGGTGACTAGTCATAACACTGTGTATTACACTAATCTGTTCCACTGATCCACCCCTCTAATTTTTAGAGTTTTGTTGATTACTGTTTTGTAATGCAGTTTGAAATCTGGTACAGCTAGACCACCTTCTTTCGCATTTTTTTTCCCATTGATTCCCTTGATATTCTTGACTTTTTGTTTTTCCAGATGAATTTTGTTACTGTTTTTCTAGCTCTATAAAATAATTTTTGTGAGTTTGATTGGTATGGCACTGAATAAGTAAATTAATTTAGGTAGAATTGTCATTTTTATTATATTAGCTTGGCTGTCCCATGAGTCTTTATTTGTGTGAAACATGTTTTGTAATTGTGTTCATATAATCTGTGGGTTTGTCTTCACAGGTAGACTTCCAAGTATTTTATATTGTTTTCAGTTACTTTAAATGGAATTACTATATCTCTTGCCGCTGGACTTTGTTGGTAGTATTGAGAAATGTTGATGATTTCTGTGGGTTTATTTTATATCCTGCACTGTTCCTGAAATTGTTGATTGTTTCAACTTGTTGATTTTCTAGGGTTCTCTAAGTATAACATCACATCATCTTTAATGAGTGATAGTTTTGTTTTCTTATTGCCTATTTTTATTCCTTCCATTTCTCTTTCTTATCTTGCTATAGCTAGCCTTTCTAGATAGTATTGAATGATAGTGATGATAATGGAAGTCCTCGCTTCACTCCTGATCTTATTGGAAAGTCTTCAAGTTTGTCCTTATTACAGATAATGCTTCCTTTTGGCAGTCAGGGTTAAGTGACTTGCTCTGGTCTATAGTTTTCTTTTTCTGTTTTTGCTCTCCCTGGTTTAGGTATCAAAACCATACTTGTGTCATAAAAGGAATTTGTAGGACTCCTTTACCAGTTTATTAAAATAGTTTATTTAGTATTGGAATTAATTGTTCCTTAAATGTTTGGTAGACTTTACTTGTAAATCCATCTGGTCCTAGGGATTTTTTTCTTACAGATTTCATTGATGGCATATTCAATTTCTTTTTCTAAGATAGGATTATCTAAGTATTCTATTTCTTCTTCTGTTAATATGGGCAGTTTATATTTTTGTAAATATTTGTCCATTTTACTTAATTAGCTTTACTGGTATATAATTGAACAAAATAACTCCTAGTAATTATTTTAATTTCATTTTCATTGGTGCATTCACCCATTTCATTTTTGATACCAGTAATTTGGTTTTCCTTTTTTTTTAAATCAAAATAACCAATGGTTTATCTATTTTATTGGGTTTTTTCTCATAAAACCTACTCCTAGTTTCATTTATTAGTTTAATGGTTTTGTTTACTTTTATTTTTATTAATCTCTCCTTTGATTTTTCAGGATTTCCATTTTGGCGTTTAATTGGGGATTTTTAATTTGTTCTTTTTCTAGTTTTTTTTTTTAGTGGCATGCTTAATTCATTAAACTGCTCTTTCTCTATTTTATTATATTTTTTGGCTTTTTTTTTCTTTTGGTGAGGCCATTGGAGTTAACTGACTTTCCCAGGATCACAGAACTATTAAGTGTCAAGTGTCTGAGGCCAGATTTGAACTCAGGTCCTCCTGACTCCTTATTTATTTTATCATTAGATTTATCTAGTTCTGAGAGGGGAAAGTTGAGGTCTCCCACTAGTATAGTTTTACTGTCTATTTCCTCCCATAACTCATTTAACATTTGCTATAAGAGTTTGGATGCTGTGCCATTTGGAGCAAATATGTTTAGTATTGATATTACTTCATTGTCTTTTTTACCTTTTAGCAAAATGTAGTTTCCCTGCTTATCTCTTTTAATTAGGTCTCTTTTTGCCTTTTTTTTTTCTGAGGTCATGATTGCTACTCTTGCTTTTTGTACCTCAGCTGAAGCATAATAAACTCTGCTCCAGCTTCCTATTTTTATTCTATGTGTGTGTGTCTCTCTGTTTCAAGGATGTTTCTTTTAAACAACATATTGTTGGATTCTGGTTTCTAATCAATTCAGCTATCTACTTCTGTTTTATGAGTGAGTTCATCTCATTCACATTCACAGTTATGATTACTAACTGTGCAGTTCCCTCCATCCTATTTCTTCTTTTTATCCTTTTGTCTCTTTTTATCCTGTCCCTCTTCTCAAGTCTGTTTTGCATCTGACCACTGCATTCTTGTATCTGATCTCTCCTCCCACCCCTACCCCTCTTTATTGCACACATGTGCACATATACACACATGCGCACACACACACATACACATACATATATTTTTCCCCCTTTTTGAACCAACTTAGATGTGTGAGGTTCAAGCATTGCCTCTCCCCCCGACACATAATTTCCCCCTCCACTGTGAAAGCTCTTCTTTGCACACCTCTTTTATGTGAGATAATTTTCCCCATTCTTCCTCTCCCTTCTCCCAAAGTATCCCTCTTTTTTACCCCTTTATTTTTTTTACATCATCCCAGTGTATCAACTCACTCCCATACACACTTTCTATGTAGAATCCTTCTAACTGCCCTAATAATTTTAGAAGATACATCTATGATCTACCCATATAGAAAGTCAAGCAGTTAATTTATTGAGTCCCATATGATTTCTCTTTTATGTTTACTTTTTTATGCTTCTCTTGAGTATCATATTTGAAAGTCAGATTTTCTATTCAGCTCTGATCTTTTCATCAGGAATGCTTGATAGCTTCTATTTCATTAAAGGTATATATTTTTTTCCCTTGAAGGATTATACTATTTTTCTAGATAGTTGATTCTTGGTTGTAATCCCTGCTCTTTTGCCTTTTGGAATATCATATTCCAAGCTCTCCACTCCTTTAACATGGTAGATGCTAAATCTTGTGTGATTCTGACTATGGCTCTACAATATTTGAATTGTTTGAATTTTCTGCTTGAAGACCTGGCAGCTCTGGAATTTTGCTATAATATTCCTGGGAGTTTTCATTTTGGCATCTCTTTTACGTGGTGATCAGTAGAATCTTTCAAATTCTATTTTACCTTCTGGTTCTAGGATATTGGAGCAGTTTTCCTTGATAATTTCTTGAAATATGATGTCTAGGATCTTTCTATGATTGTGGCTTTTAAATAATCTAATAATTCTTTAAGTTATCTCTCCTTGATTTATTTTCCAGATGAGATATTTCACATTTTCTTCTATTTTTTTCATTCTTTTGACTTTGTTTTATTGTTTTTGTTGTCTCATGGAGTTATTTTAGCTTCAACTTACCCATTTCTAATTTTTAAGAAGTTAAATTCTTCAATGAGTTCTTATGCCTCTTTTCCCATTTGGCCAATTCTTCTGTTTAAGGAGTTATTTTCATCAGTAAATTTTTATACCTCTTCTTCCATTTGGCCAGTTCTGTTTTTTAAAGTGTTATTTTTGGTATTTTTTTGTGCCTCTTTTACCAGGCTTGTTAATTGTCTTTTCATAATTTTCTTCCTTCGCTTTTATTTCTCTGCCTAATTTTTTCTCTACCACTGTTATTTGACTTTGAAAATCACTTTTTAGCTCTTCAAGTGATTCTTGTTGGGCTTGTGTCCAATTTCCTTTTTTTTTTTTTGAGGTTTTGCTCATAGCAACTTTAATTTCATTGTCTTCTTCTGAGTTTATATCTTGATCTTCCCTGTCACCATAGTAACTTTTTATGGTCAGATTCTTTTTTTGTTGTTTGCTCATTTTTCCAACCTAATTCTTGATTTAGAACTTTATGCTAATGTTGAGCTCTGTTCCCACTGTGGGGGTGGGAAGGACTCTATCTCAAGCTTTAGGCTTTTTCCGCACTGTTTTCAGATCCAGTTTTGGGAGTTTGGAAGTTTTCAGTACTTCCAGGGTGGTGTGATCTGGGGAGAGATCAATAGTCACTGTTCTCTTGGTCTGTACTCTGGTCCTTACCCAAAAAGGGCCCTTGATCCCTTGGCATTGCAATCAGTATTGTTTCTCAGAGCTCCTCCTACATTGGGACCAGTAAGGATACTGTTCCTTAGGGTCCTTGATCCCTTGGGGCTGGAAGTAATATTGCTCCCTAGGGCTTCCACTCCCTCTTGACCAAAAGTGCCTCTCTCCACCCTTGAACTATGACCTAGAAGTGCATATGGATAATGGAATTGCCAAACAGTTGCCCCTCAGGTTTCCCACTCCCTCTTAACTGAAAGTGACCCTTTCTGCTTTTGAACTATGACCCAGAAGTGGGTATAGGCAATAGAGTTGCCAAACAGCATCTGGTCCTGTGTCCAGATCTAGTGCAGGGGTACCTTGCAATTTTTTTCTGACCAGTTGCCAGGTCCCCTTATTGTCTCTGGCTTAAGAGCTCCTGAAGCTGCTCCTGCTCATGCCATCATCACCTTAGTCTCACCACTGGTGTTTCATCCATGTGGGCTGTGGGCCAACCTCCTCCCCCACGTCACAGGTCTCTCATTCCAACTTCCTGTGTTGTCTTGGGCTGGAAGGATGTCTCACTGTGACCTTTTGTTGGCTCTGCCACTTCAGAATTCAATTTGAGGTGTTATTTTAAAGCTGTTTGGAGGAGAACGTTGGGAAGCTCACTTGAATGCTTCTCTACTCACTATCTTGGCTCCCCACCCCCCCAGAAGTCTCAAGTTCTTTTTTAATGAGGGTGTTGGACCCCTGAGGTCCCTTCCATCTCTAATAGTCTATGTATTATAATCTGTAAACATGTAAATAAAGATGTGTTGATGGAGTTGAATAGTCTTGTTTGCCTGAGAGCTGAGGGCAAGCTAGATCATTTATTAGTGTTAAAGACCTTTCTTGTATTTATCCAAAGAGTGCAATATCTTATGAAAATTATTTCTTAATATGTTTCTTTCCCAGCTATGGAGCTAAAATCCGTGCACCCCATGCTCTGGTCATGACATTTCTCTTCAGAAGTGGAAGGTATGAACTCTCTGATTTTGTATTTCTGCATGGCTTATCTCCAGCAGCATTCTTGAATCTTAAACATAGTGTGATCTTGTCCTTGGGAAAATACTTTATTATATTTTGGAAACTAACCAATCCCCTGATCCTCGCATGCATAGCTTCCATTGCATTCCAAAGGAAAACATTCTCTTGTCTTCATAGTTTCATTCTGATCATGGTCTTCCTAATTCTCTTTGTGTGTATGTGTGTGCGTTTGTATTGCTTTGTTCCCTTAGCCTAAAGGAGAAGCTCAAGGCAATTGTTCAGGCCACCTACACGCATTCCCGAAACCTGGCTTACTTTGTTTTTACCTACAAGGGCTTGTGTGCCTTGCAGTCCCGGGTCCAGGGACAGACCTTCCAGTTTCATTCCTTCCTGGCAGCCTGTATCGGTGGCTGGTTGGTTTTTGGAGAAAATAATAACATCAACAGTCAGGTAAATGAAACCCCCCCTCTTCTTTTTCCAGGTAGCTGTTTACCATCACCTAACCTATCTCTTCCAGATTTGTTGTTTGACTTCCTGGTTATGATCTTAAAGGTTAGCTTGTTCCATGGGAACCCTCCTCTCCTTCCCCACCTGCCCCATGTCTGTGCAGGTCATTCATCATCACACCATGATTAGTCATTAGCTTGAGCTGCCATGAAGGCCTAAAATTAGACTCTTTTCCCCATTTGGGTGAAATTTGCCTGCACCTGCATTCCTCTCCTGCCAGACTCTCTTGGCCCGGATGCTGTTCTAATCGCTCATTATAACCTCACCCAAGACAGGATTTTCCTGGCCAACTCTGCAGTCAGAGAGAAGTACATGATTAAGTGACGGAGTAAAATGGTGACTCATCCCTAGTCTCATGGCTCTTCCTTTGAAATGCTGTGGTGCCACTACATGGTACTTCTCCCTGTCTGCCAGACTTTTTGCCTTCTTGGTTCATGTCTGTTTGACAGGGAGTCTTGGAATTGAAGGGACAGTGAAGCAGGGTGGGCATTTTGGGGGCTGACACACCCTAGGGCATCATTCAGTTTCCTGTTCAGGTTCTCTTTTTTGCAGATTAACATGTACCTGCTGTCTCGAACCCTTTTTGGACTGGCCCGGCTAGCAGTTGAGAAAGGCTTCATCCCAGAGCCAAAACAGGATCCCTTTCCTTTGTTTTCTGCTATCGTCTGGGGACTCGTCCTCTGGCTCTTTCAGTACCACAGACACACCCTTCAGCCATCTCTGCAGTCCTCCATGACATACCTTTATGATGACAGCAATGTGTGGCATGACATTTCTGATTTCCTTATTTGTAATAAAAGCAGCTCTGGGAAATAATCCATAGGCTTCAGGAAACTTGGATAGTGGTATGCTCTGGCATGGCCAGGGTGAAAGTAGATGACTTTTTTGTTGTTGTTCTATCGTAAACCTAAAGGCTTTCAGATCGGCTTTTACCATCCTCTGAATTAATTTCTTGATAATTTTTTTAAACAAATACTATGCAACCTATTGCCATTTTTTCTATTAGGTTTTTTTTTGGTCAACAGAAATGTCCTGTGGAGACTAGAGATGATTTATTTCATTCTCTAGGGTTCATTCATGTTTAATTTCATTGGTAACAGGGGTCCTGAACCATTTTACGAAGTTAAAAACTGTTTTTTTAGAAAATTAAGGTACTTACTATGTAATGACAGGGAGCTATTTAGACCACCAGTGGAATACAAATCTTTTTCATTAAAAAAAAAAGTCACAACTCTATTCAAAGGTAATTATGTATGGAGGACACTTCTTTCCATTACTTCAAATGATTTTACTGTAAAAGCACAGATTTGGAAGGGGCCTTAGAAATCATCTAGTCCAATCTCCCATCGGAATTCCTTCCACAGCCTCCCTGAGAAGTGGTCTAGCCTCCAACATGATTTTCCAAACAACTCCCCTGTGCAGTTTTTTCCTGTTTTAGAAGAAAGTAGTACTTCTCTAAGTAAGTCACTCACTGGTTTCTTTAGGAGTGATTGTGTGTTTCTTTTGACTCAGACTGTGAAAACCCATGTGTTTGTTAGTGATGTTATTTTTTTAGAGGCCAGTCAGTAAAAATTGAGTTAGAATTTCTTTCATCCTATCTTTCCTCCCTCCACTCCTATGAAGTATGTTTACAGGTTTATGAGAGTCAGGTTTTCCATCTGACTCTGTCCTTGAATGGGGGGGAATCATCTTTTAGGGAACCAAAAGGAGTTTAAACTTAGACTTTGAAATAAGAATCTATGTGTATAATTATTTTCGCAAACCTGGTTTGCTTTGCACAAAGAATAAAACAGATGTACCTACAAACAAATCAGAGAGTGCTAGACTGGGGCCATTTGTGCACGTGAGGAGCTGATGGGGACCTGGTCATAATTTTGCCTTCTCCAGGTAGTGGCAAGTCAGGATTAGGAAAAACAAAACAAACAAAACATCAACACATTAATGAGAAACCAAAGGGCAACATCAAGAAGAGAACAGAATGAAGCACATATTCAGCCATCCAAGTCTTACCTCCTGCCAGTTTTCGCCGTGCGGGCCATAGAGACTGTGTGCCCTACTGCATTCATGATTCCTGATTCTAATAGCGCAGGTCAATTACAGTATCCATCACCTTCCCTCTTACTAGGAGGCCAGTTTTCCTGGATTAGACCTCTTCTGCAGCAGTAGTCTGTGGTTGTACTGAGTCCTGTCGGGGCTTACATCCTTTCCAGCCTCAGACTAGAATGCTAAAGAGAATTTTCTCTTGTTTCTAGGCTTTTTTAGACAGCTTTCATAAGACTCTTTCCATTAAATGACTTTTAAACTGCAACATTTTTACCCAGACTTACCTTTTATCTTCCCCCTAGCCCCCTTTTTTCCTTTAAGCTTCTGTTACTTTGGGTCTGACTTTTTGGGCCTTGGGAAGGGTCATGAAGGGCCTCCACTAGACTTGAGTTGAGTTTTTAGACCTGTTCCTAGTCCTGTGACTTTGAGAAGTCACTTCCTTTTTCTTAATTTCTCTTCCCTCATTTGGCAAATGGGATTAATGTGTTCTTCCAGGGCTGTTGTTGAGCTCACCTGAGACAATGTATGTGGAAATACTCTGTCAGTTGTAATGTTATTTTAATGTAAAGAGTCATTGTTATTGTTGTTATTTTTGTTGGGACCTGTAGTTTATCAGTGTAGGAACTCCTGTTGTGGAAACTCCTTCCACCCATGCAGATCGGGAACTAATTTGTGATCTGTAATTTCAGGGTACTGAGAAATTAAGTGGTCCTATAAACAGTTTTTGTCAGGTAGGTTTTCCTGACTCCAAAACCAGCTTTCTATCATGCCATGCTGCCTCCCATCATTATTTTAATGGTTCTAGTTTTTATTGTTGTTAATCATCAAATTTGCAGATACAAATTTAAAACTGACTTTGTGCCAGGCACTGTACCATCTGTGGTGCCTGTCTCTCTAATCAGATGATGCTCAGAGATCCTACATAATTGACTGTTGGGTACTTAAAAGAGTTAAAAGAAAAATCAGTCACGGTTGATGCCCTTTTGGGTGAAAGAAAAGTCTATTTGGGGCTTCTCCAATGGGAATCTCTTCAATTTGAGATTGGTTTGAAATAGATGACTCCCCATTGGGGAAGTATTCCCAAATGGGCTTTCATTGGGAAGGCTCTTCTGCTATGTATAAATGTTGCAATTTTGATGTTTTTTCTCTGCCCCTCTCCCCCATCTCTCATGGATGTTTTGAAGTCTAGAAAGAACCAGGATTTAGGTTGACTCCTTCCTAGAATGTAAAATCATCCAATGACTAATCTGAAAATCACCATCGGCTCATAGTTTTTCATGTATTTTGTTCTCTTTGGCAAATTTTACTTAGTTTTTGTAAAAAATAAAAATTCCTTTTGACCTCCATTTCTTCAGCTGAAAAAGGAGAGTTGAACTAGATGAACTTTGAAGTCTTTTCCAGCTTTAAATCTATGAACTTACTTTAATTCTTGTTTTATAGCAAAGGATACTTTATGCTTCACAGAGAGGCATTTTGATTTAAATGAAATCCTCACTGCAGAACAGAAGTGTCTAATCCACTTCTCCACGTAGAATGGGATAAAATAGATTTCTTTAACATGACAACAAATATGACTTTTTCTTAAGTCAGTTGTGTAAAGATTATCTCCTATAGGATGGATGTTCTTAGCACTATTAAAAGCATCCTCCGGTGGAGTGTGTGGGAAAGCAGGATGTTGTCGTGTCCATAGGCAATATGATTATTTTAATTAACAGCAGCAAAGTTAACTAGCATTAGAATGCACTTTCTTAAAAAGAAATCTGTGTCTTCTCCATTTCTCCAAATGGGATCCCCCAGCCAGCAGTGTCCAAAACTGGAAATCAGCTATGGCAAAGAATTAGGAGAGATGCTCAGACATTTTAGACTCCTTTGAAAATTATTACTTTTTTTCCTGAAGGTTCTGTGGGTTATTTAAAGAGTCACCATGTAGAAAGTGTCTCTCTAGACCAATTAGGCAGAAAAATTGTCTGTTTTTCTGTCCAAATGGGCAATAATAATAACGAAATCACATTGATATAGTGTATGAAGATTTGCAAGATGCTTCCCTCATGCACTTTTCATTTCTCCATAGTCATCATGCTTGTTAAGCATGTGTAGCCTTACATGTGACAGAGCCTAGTTTTGAGAAATGAAAATATTTTGATCAGGGTAGGAGCAGTGGTGGGGATGGTTGCTCTTCCTGCCCAGGTGGATTAAGTAATAGGTAACCAGTGAGTGTAGGAATGAGGTCTGAATGAAAAGGAGATAGGGGATCTGTGAGGGCCATTTTATGGTACAGTCCTAATTTCAGTGAAAAGAAAGTGGACTTTAACAAGGCTTCTAACAAAGGCCTTGTTCAAAACATGTATCCAAAGTGTGGGTTCAGAAAATAGGATCACATAGTCCTCCTGTGGGGTGTTTGCAAACCATCTAGGTGCCACAGGAGGGCGTTCTCAGAAGTGGTTGAAGTAGTGGTAAAAGTGAAGCCATCCTGGCTGGCCAAACTGTGAGGAGTGTGGGTCACCTGCTCTAGCCCCCAGGCATCATGGTAGAAAGGGAAAGAGGACTGGATTTGGAGTCAGAGGAGCTAGATCTAATCCTGGAGCTTAATGACTACTTGGGTGACCTTGGGCAAGTCACTTCCCCCCTCTGGGCCTTAGTTTCCTTGTTTGTAAAATGAAGGGGTTGGGCTAAATAATGTTCAGGCCTCTTCCAGCTCTAATCTAGGCTCCCTCCTGGCACTTGTTGCTGGTGCTTACTATGAGAAGAGGCCTGGCCTGTATCAGCAGGGACTGGCTTGTTTCCTTCCCAACCTTCCTGACCCTCCCTTCTGCCCCAGCTCCAGGGAACAGGCTCTGGCCTTGTTTCTCCCCAGGAGCGTCTGCATGCATGCCTCCTGGCCTTGTTTAACAGTCGTTCCTCTTCTGAGCCCCACAGACTCCCCCAGCAAGCTCTGCTCATCAGGCCAGGGCCAGCCATTAGTCAGGCTCTTTAAAGGCTCCGAGTTTCCCAGCTGTCTGTGGGTAGATCATTGTTATGTGCTCCCAGGGGAGTCATGGGAACATGTTCTCATCCTTCCACCAGACCAGCTTCTGGGGCTAGTTTAGGGCACTCAGCAAATCCTACAGGCCCGGGAGAGGGCTGAACAATGGCTGTGTGTAATGAAGAAGTGGCCTAGAAATAATCGGCCTGTTAGAGCTCACTGCCCTATCTGTGGGGTTTTCTACACCTTCGTGTCCTGTTTGTCATTTATGGAAAGCTTATTTCTTCTTCCTTTGGGAACTCCTCCCCTTCTACCTCTTCTCTCCCAAACCCCAATAATAAAATTGAAATGGGGAGACAGCGTGTATTTTTTTTCCCCCACAAAAAATTTACTTGCTTGGACTCCAATAGAAACATTTTTCTTCTTTCTGAAGAAAAAAAAAATCAAGGTGAGCCTTTAAGCACATTGTTTATACAGTTTCTTAGCTAGGCTGTTTCTTCCTTGATGCAGCTTTTTTTCCTCCTGCTTTGGAAGGTTGCTTCTCACTGCACAGTGGGTGGTTTCCTCCCTGTGCTGCAGGGAAGAAATCTAGCTGTTGAGTAATGCAGATTTGCTCCTTGATGTGCATATTCTTCTTCCTGTCCTAGCAAAGCATTTTTCATCATCATAATGTTCTCGGTAATGAAGAATAAGGAAGTTGCCTCTCTTAGGAAAGCTATCTTCAAACTAATAGCTGTCATTTCTTTAGCTCTTTAAATGTTCACAAAGTTCCTCTCTGCTTTCCCTATCCCATTTGAGCCGTAATCCTGTGAGGTTGGCGCTATAAGCACTCTTATCCTCATTTTGCCAAAGAGGCCTAGAAAAGGTGAAGAGACTTGTCTGTAGTCACTGAGCTGGTTAGGGTTCGAACCCACGTCTCTCCTGACTCCAAATGCAGCATACTTTCCACTGTACCCCAGGGAGATCTAGTTCAACACCATTATTTTCCATTGTCAAAAGACAAGGCTAGAGAGGTTAAGTGACTTGCTTGCCCAACATCACACAACAATCCCATGGCATAGTTAGGATTATAATACAAGTCTCTGGTCTCCTAGGCCAGGGCTCTTTCCCACATTCCACATATACTTGACTGTTTAGAAGAAAAACTCAAAGAGTCCTGCACTCCCTTTGGGGGATTTTATTCACTGCCCTACAGAGGAGGGTGACCATGGTGATGAGGAAATCTGAAGCCATTCTATATAGGGATGAATATTTAGCCTAAAGAAGAGACTTGGAGGAGGAGGGAGGAGGAGACTCTCCTCACCTGAGTAGAAGAGGGATTCAGTTTCTTTTGCCACAAGGCAGAACCAGAAGAAATGGGAAAGGTTAAAGAGGCAAATTTTGCCTCCATATTAGGGAAAACTTGTTAGCAATTAAATCTGTATAAAAGTAGAAAGACTGCTTCACAAGGGAGGGAGTTCCTGATCACTAGGGGTCTTCAAGCAGAGGCTGGATATGACCACTTGTCTCAGCTGTCACAGAGGGAATCTCTGCTTCCAGCTAGGATTAGATGGCCTTTGTTGTTGTTCAGCCATACTCACCTCTGGTGACCTCATATGGGGTTTTCTTGGCAAAGATACCCATGTGCTCTGCCATTTCCTTCTCCAGTTCATTTTAAAGATGAGGAACTGAGGCCAACAGGGTTAAGTGACTTACACAGGGTCACACAGCTAGCAAGTGTCTGAGGTCAAATTTGAACTCAGGGGTCCTCCTGACCCTAGGCCCAGTGCTGTATCCACCAGGCCACCCAGATAACCTTTGATGTCCCTTCTTTCTCTAGTTTTCTATGACAATCCCCTAAGTAGAATAAACAGTAAGAGAACTGAGAGAGAGAGAGAGAATGGAATGCCTCCCCAGGTGACAAACAGTTACCTCTTGAGCCTTTGATCAAGAGAATCGTTCTGACTTTTGAGAGGCCTAATTTGGGATGCACAGACCAGAACTGGTATGGGATCTCAATGAGGATGTAACCATACTGTCTTAACTGGAGGAGGTGCCTTTAATGTTGTATATAATGGATAGCAAACATAGACTTTTCTAAAAATGTTGAACTATTTCTTTTTCACTTGTGAATGTTATTTTTAAAAAAATTTGAAAAACAGAAATGTATAATCTTTGGGAGGGGGAAATAAATGTTTAATGATTTAATGATTTTACATTGTGTTGGTAGTCACCTTCCTTGGGAGTACATAGCAGGGTTCCTGGGGGGAGTTGGCATAAAGTACAGCTACACAGAAAAGGTGTGCATGGAATCAGCCCTGCGTTGGACCACCTGCAGTTGGTGGATCTTGATGTCTTCACAAGATCCTTCCCAAAGGGTCTACATCGTTATTCTTTGTCCACTGTCTTAGTTACAAAATATAGGAAGACAAGGGCCTTGCTTTTTCTCTTCTGCACTAAAAGGGGATTTCCCTGGGCTAAAGATTGGTGTCCAGAGGGTGGAGGGTGAAGGAAATCTGCTAACAGGCGGTGAGGGACATCCTGCCTACAGTGTTAAAAAGGGACCTTTCCTGGCTGCTCCAGCTGCTGTTTGAGGCAGCTGTCCATACTGTACTAATCTGGGCACTGTGTGTGTGTGTGTGTGTGCGCGTGCGCGTGCCTGTTGCCTCCTCCTCCCCCTCTTTCTGCTTTTGTCTTGCTTTCTTCCAGTTCCTCCCCTCCCCCAGTCTGGGTTCTGGTCATCCTCACTCAGGACCAAGGATGCTTCTCCAACTCTTTTCTCTTTATTGTCTAAAAATCCATGATCGTTATATAATGACTCAGATATTCATTACCTCATAGGAATCTTGTTGGCCGAGACTGTACTTTATTCAACTTCATATCTTATTTAGTTCCTATCCCCAGTACTCTATACAGACCAGGTACTCAGTCTTTGAATGAGTTCTCCCACCCCATCCCAACCCCTTGAGGAAAGTTGCCAGGTGTCAAGTCCATTTTACAGATTGGGAAACATTCAATCAAGCATTTATCTAGCACCTACTTTGTGCCAGGCTTTATGCTAGGTTTATGGGATATAAATATAAAAACAAGACAATTCCTACCCTCAAGAAACTGACATTCTGGTCATCTGCCCCCAGCAGAAACCTTGGATATTGTCTCTGCCTCCTCCAGCTCGATTTGGTGTTGTCTTCTCTCATTAGAATACAAGGGATTGTCTTGCTTTTATTTGTCCTCTGTGCTTGGCACAGTGCCTGGCACATAGCAAGTAAATATTTATCTGCATTCCACCAGGGCAGACAACATATCCACAGATACAAGGTGATTTGGGGAAGAGGCACAGCTACTTGAAACTTTCTACAAGTACATTCTGATGTGGGAATGTCTATGGTGTGGGTATCTGAGCCC